TCTGAGCGGATTATGTTTTCATCCCCAACGGGCAGGAAAACCGAATTTCAGAAATCCATACGATCGAAGATCTTGGAGCAACTGCCACTGTTAGAGGACCATATCGCTGACATACTGCCCAGGAAGGACACGTTTAAACTAATCAAATGCAAAGGTTCGCTTCCCTTTTTATCCGTTTCTGCAAATGCCTCTGTGTGTATATGTTTTTAGAGGCGAATGAACTTTGTCACCTACTTTCAACTCAGCAAACGGGAAAAATGGGAAGTTGAAATTTTAGGGACGCAAAGAAGCCGTCCGAGCACACTTCGCTCCATTGCTCTTTCTCTCCTGTACTTTTTTCTGCAAACATGCCCCGCCTCCATTTGTTAATACCTTCAGTTCAGTGCAGTTGTAGAGGTGACAGCAGTTCTTCCGATAGCGGCAAGCTGTGCTCAAAATATCATCCACCATCCGCAATAACGCTTTTCTTTAAAATGATGTGTTTTTTGTATTTTCATGCGCATCATGCTTGATTCTGGCCCTTTCAAGCGTTAAAAGCCATAAATTTAATGATTCTAGACAGCCAATTAGTTTTCCTTTGCAAGCGGGAATCTCCGAGTGATTTCTTTCTCTTTTTGATATAGTTTTGTGCTGTTAGTGGGAATGGCAAGAAATGTATACGACTTAGTGGGCTGAAACCACTAAAATAATTCTTATCACTTACGAATTTTGTAATTCTCCTCTCCTAGGTTGTTTTACTCGTCCTCTTCTTTCACCCTTTATCAATATACCCTATTTTTTGTTCTGTTTAGCTGAATTTTGCATCCCTTTTTCAGTATTTGGTACTCCTGCTGCTAAATTCATTGCATGTTGCCGAAACTGGCAGCGCCGCTTTGCTGTTGTTGCTGCTGAGTGTCGAGACTTCAATTTTTGTCAGTGGAAAAAATCTCTTGACATTTCACTTACTAATTTCGGTGGTAAATTGATGTCTGCATAGGAAGGGGGTTTTTGAAATCACTCTTCGTGACATGTTGCCGTAGTTAGTACGAAAAGTTCTTGTCCACCTGGCATTCTGAGGCCCGGAGATGGAGAAACCACCATACTTGGACATTGCCTCATTTTAATGGTGGACGCCGAATTGAATTTTGTGTCTGTTTGTGAACTGCTCTTTGACACTTCGAACAGTTGCTTCTTCACTGTTTTGTTTCTTCCCGCCATCGGTGCAGCAACTTTTTTTTATGCTCACAGCATCCGTATAACTCTATCTAGACCATTAGCGTGTACTGTTTTCATGAGTAACTTATGAAATGCATTATTTTTGCTATCCAGTGGGTTTAATGCAGATTTCCAGAACATGTTGAATTAATAGCCGATTGTGACGGAAGGATGCTTTTTATCAAGCCGAGAGATATACCTTACATACCATCGCTGCGTTTGCTTCACATGTATCCATTTATCTTACCACATGAGCAGGTTGGTGAACAGTATACATTTCTCCCGAGATTCTCCCCTTCCCGTCTTCACGTTCCCTTTGTTACTTGTTCTCCCCTCTCCGTCTTCAAATTCCCTTTGTTAGTTGTTGTTTCACTCGTCTCACGCTTCCTTTTGCAATATTTAGTATTATGGTGGCTTACATCCCCCGTTTGCCTGCACTCCTGCTGCCCGTAAATCGCCCAGTTGATTTGAACTGGATAGCCGTTCTCAAAAGCAGCCTGGTCAGTGTCAGGTGCAATCGGCTGCTTAGCTAAGCCTGTCGTTTTGCTGTTTTGTCTCGTGCAGTATGTTGAATTGCTGGATTTGTTGGAGAGCTGTAGTTTGTGCAGAATTTTTTGACATTTTGCTTTTAGCAAGTTTTTTCAGGACGAATAAAACGGCGGCAAAATTCGTCACCTTCCAACTACTACCATTCTTGAAAGCGAGTAGTTTTTCTTTTTTCTCTCAATCGCAGTGGGATTACTTTTGCCGTTTGTGAGCGGCTTCGATGCATATTCCTGTCAGAGCTACTTCATCATCTGTATCTTGGCCCTACATCATGCTTTTTTGCGTTTTACTTGTAGAATGTTCCGGATTTATTAGTAGTTCGGTGTCTTTGCTTCTTTACTGTTTCAAATTATTTTAGGTGGACAAAGGTGCGATCCGATTTGTTTTGAATGGCTCACAAATCATGTGTCCAGGCCTAACGAGTCCAGGAGCAAAACTGAATCTCAGTGTTCCGAAGGATAGTGTATGTTTGTCACAGATTTCTTTTCAAATTTTTCTGTGTATCAGGAAAAAAATCTGTCGACAGTGTTGTCTCTGAATTTGTACTCTTCTTCTGTAACTTCGCTTTTTGTAATTTTTGACATTAATAGCATTCTTCTGCCTATCCCAAGTTTTGTCCTGAGTTTTTCCACTGAATTTAGTTTCGTTTACCCATAGATTGATTTGTTTTTTTCCCTGCAGGATACTGTGGAGTCGCAAAACACTTTTGATTTTTTTTTTTTTCATGGCTTTCTCGAGTTAATATCTTACGGACTGGCGCCTGAAAATTATTAGCGAGAAGCTAACCTAGATGCATCTTGAAGATGGCAAAACTCGCAATGTATACAGCGCACGCAGGTTGAATAAGGTGCACGCGAAATAAGAAAAAGGTCCTGAAAATTAGCGCACCGAAAAAAAAAAGATGATGTAAAGTGCTGATATATCCGTGGTCGATTTCCCAATATGCGGCGTTGCCTAAAAAGTTAGCATTCATGTCTGAAAAGAACTAAATTCACGTAGAATGGGTGCTGTTTGGTACGAATTTCACGCCATCCTGGACATCCTCCAAAGCGATAAACCAGAAGGACAGTGTCTACTTCATTATTACCACTGTGCTAAGGGCAGTGCTGTACGAAGCGAAAAGGGGTCACTGAAGCGAAAAGGGGTCACTGACGAATGCAGAAGATTTGAGGCTGGCTGCGATAGGGTGAAAGTTGCTTGAAATTCCTCTTTGTGATCAAAGCAGTCATACTTCTCGTCAGTTGAGCGATTTGCATGATATCATCATTGCAACTACACGAGATCTGTTGGACAACGCATGTTCCTCGCCTTGCTGATGATCTCTGTGGTCATCATATATCAAGGATTGTTGCCGGCGATAAATTAAACGAGCACTCAGGTGGCATAAACAGAAGTAGTGCATATAACTAAAAAAGCGTCAGAAACTGACTGGAGTTACGCTAGGCAGAATCGAAGAACTTGGTACGACTGCTTCCGGCCTCTGGGAATATTGCAGTAACATCATTAATCTGTGATTCTCACATCAGTTGTCTAAGAAGTCTTGCTGCACCTGATAACTACTGTCGAATGTGCGTTGCTCGTTGCGCAGCGATATTTAAAACTAACAAAACTTTTGAGCATTAAGCAGGCTGGCCTTACCATTTCACATCGACTTCTTTTTTAAAGGGGAAAAAGTAGCAGCGCGGCCGTTCACCCCTGTACCCTTACCCGCTCTCCTGCAATACCTGCACTACGAATGAGTTCAATTTCGTTTAAAAGTTTGCTTTTCTAACTGCCCGGAAGCGGTGATTTTTATTTTCAGGTGGTTGCTATAATGGCTGAAGGGAAACGGCATGCATTGGCTGTTGGATTAACAAAAATGTCTGCGGATGAAATACAAACTGTTAACAAAGTATGCCTTGCTAGCATGTTATAATGCAAGAATTGAAGTGGTTTTATCAACTATAGCAAAATTACTATATTCGTTTTTGAGGGCGTCGGCATTGAAAACTTACACCACTTGAACGATGGCTTGTGGAAAGTGACGACAATCTTATGACGATACGCTAACTTGCTGAGTATAAGAATGCTGCGCAAACCGTTTTTTGCATATCGCCCAAATTCGTTGGATTCATACCGTTTTCATGGATTTATACGTTAATATTATTCTAAGCTGTGATATTTTTGTGATATTATGGAAATATAATTGCAGCAGTAAATAATGGGCTTTCACTAACTGTATCTATACATACTACATTTTGGCGTGTATTTGGGCAGGCCAGCGCCACACTCCAGCAGTTTCTGTAAAAATTTTTTGCTCGATTCGAGAGATCCAAAAGGAATAGCTTCAAATGTTTTTTCTCGTATTCAGTAAATTTATGCATTTCTTGAGAAGCAGTATGACCAGAGTGTGATGTTTTCTTGACCGCATAAGGTTGGATGTGATGGAAAAGTTAGTTTTTTTTTTTTTTTTTTAAGAGGACAGGGCTCTTTTCGACTACGAGTTTTCATCTCTTATTTGTAGTCACCCTTTTGGTGTTTTTTATGCGTTTTTTGCAGTAACGCAATGCAAAAAATTGGCCAACGCACGGGCTGCCCGTGCGAAGATGCGTTTTTTGCAGAGTTCC